GTCCCCGAGTCCTAGATCCTGACTCGACCCCTTGTGAAGAGGTGCTGGCCTCAGTTAATAATATTAAACTAGTAATAGCAATAGTAATTGCAATAGTAATAGTAACAGCAAGTAGTAGTAGCAGTAGTAGTAGTAGTAGTAGCAGTAGTAGTAGTAGTAGTAGTAGTAGTAGTAGTAGTAGTAGTATGTCTTTGCTACGATGCCAGGGGTGTTGCAGTCAGCGGCCGTATAATATACCCCAAAACCCGATTCTAATTGTTAAGGCCCTTACATTAGGTTTATTGCGAGAGTTTCGTGGATAGTGCAGAAGCGCGTTGGTGTGTCATGTGCGACTTCAGCAGGTCTTTGTCGAGATATTGTGAGCACCTGGTGCCGGGCTCCCGCAAAGATTCAGGATGGAATTTTCACAGTAATGCAGGGGCCTAAAGAATTACCAATACTCTCTTTGGGGGGAGGGCTCCTTACGGCAACTCCTCCTGCAGTGCAGCTCGACAAAACCCCTCAAGCCACCGAATACAGACGCCCTGAAATTCCCTTAAGGCAGACATGGACCGCACCTTAGAAGAGGCCAGATGCATTTTCAGCTTCTTGCAGGAGGGTTCAGGTTAGATTCAGCAGCGCATGGAACAAAAGGTTTCCGGAAATGTGCCATGGAGGTTTCATAGCCCAGCAAATGTCGCTCATGCTGCTTGTGATGTTGCTGCGGCCTCAGACACCTGTATCAGCCCCCAAAGCAACTATAAGACGAGCAGCAAACGAAGATCAGCTATTAAATTACATATGTTTCTGCCCAAGCTGATGCCTCAAAGCTGCCTAAACTTCGCTATGGTTGCAACAAGTTGTTGTCAAAGCTGATTGACCGATCACAAGGCGGCCAAAGCTCAGCCTCAAGATCAACAGCGTACGAATCATCACTGTCATCATTCATGCTACGGCCATCACCTGCGTAGTGGCTAGGAACATCATCGCCGTCAGTAGCATCACCACCGTCATCATTGAAACTCGAATACACCACGTCCTCATCCTGCTCGTCATAAGTGTCAGTAGTATCATCCTTCTCGTCATTGCGTAGGTTTCCTATGCCCAGAACATTCCCATATTTCCAGCTGGTGTCCCCGAAGGTCTTGTCAACACTTCACGAGATGGATGCCGCAGCCGACCTGGACGACGTAGTAGAAGCCAAAGTACAAAAGTAACTGAAGATGATGGTGTCTATGTCACTGGATTGGGTCGGCATCCACCAATCGGGATACTATGGGAGCCTTTAGAATAGGCTTTGGCGTATATTATGCTATAACTATAACCCCCAAAACCCTATTCTAATTATCATTGTGGCCTACCTTAAGTTCCTAGATGGAGGAGATGCCTTTGATTGCTTGTCTGCATGCTGGCTGTCACAAGCCGCGCATTCCATGGTTGCAGAAACCAGAGGACCTGAGGACCTGTCTTTGAACTGAAAGCCTTTTACTGCAACTACTGCAGCTGTACAGTGCAATACTGTTGTTGAATGAATATAAAAAAATATATAAATAAATATATATATATATATATACATACATACATATTTCGAACATTCTTTCTAGGAATACGCCAAGGTGCTTCCTGAGCTGGGGGATGAGTTGCAATTGGCCGGAGCCCGACTTTGCAGGGTTTGTCTCCCGCTGTCGTGCTTTTACATGCCACACAAATCCGTTCTCTGATGGGTGTACAAGACTGTTATTGAATGAATATATATATATATATATAGATATAGATATGTCTACATGCATATGATTATGCATCGTTTTTGAAGATTGCCGGGAAAAAGATAGGTCTTGTTGAAGTTAACATCTGCCTGGCTGCATATACCAAGGGAGCAATGGCAGGATTAAAGCGCATGCCGTCTTGACCTCGAGACATTCGCTTGTAGCAGCATGGCCAGATTGGGGTAGACGGTAGACCGCACATGATAGATTAGTGCAAGGAAGGAGGAGAGTACAGTCCAGATTGGTCTTCTTGTCTAGTATGTGAAAGGCGTCGGAATCAACAGGGCCTAGTTACTTGGCACTGAATTGGCGATTACCCTTGGGGCCTTTTCACTGCTTGTGCACCTAAGATGCCCCCCACAAGTTATTGGCATGCATCGTCGTTTGCTCAAGGTGTGCATATTAAGTTCCTCTGTGAAGGTTGTTCGCATCCCTCCACCGACTATGCGTCCAGCATTTGACAACGATCCATCTGCCACGGAAGTGCATCAGGAAAATCCGGTGGTGCTTTTCAGTGGTTGGGAACCCCAGCGCATGATCAACGCCGTGAGGCGCGCCAGTCCGGTTCGTGAGAAGAAGACTTAGTATCTCTTGTGGCATGGTAGGTAACTTTGCGGGACACCTTGCTTCACCTACACCAGGTTGCTTCCACCACCCAGAGAGAGCTCTGCAAGTGACGGTAGCATAAGCCACACAGCCGAAAGTTAAGCTCAACGTGGTAAGTCCGAGACCAGGAGTTTGAGTCGGTGTGACTGTAAGCCCGCAAGGTATGCGAGATTCCTTTCTGGGCCTGAAGGTTGAAATTGTGTTTGGAAAGTCTTTCAGACTGCTTCTGCAACGGGGGTTGAAGGATGGACTCAGACTATCCAAGGCGGTGGGTTGACCTTGATGGAGAGGCGGCTTACAGAGAGGCAGATGGGGCAGCTCATCACGTTCATATGAAAAACCAATAGCCTTGCCCCAGGAGGTCCCAGGACCTGAAAGATTGTTTTTGGTTTTTTTGGGACAGTGCAGCAGTTCTACAACAAGAACTTGGTTTGTTTGAGAGTACAGAGTTGTGGATAGTTGTCTTGCAGAAGCGCTGTACTGTTCCACAAAAATCAATCTTTTGGGAGGCCCACTGGAAAGGATTGTTTTTTGCCTTTTTTGGACAGTACGGCACTGTTTTTGATAGGCTTCTTGCAAAAGTACTGTACTGGCCCAAAAAGAACTTATCTTTGGGAGGCTTCCAAAGAGACTTGGCTGAGTGACCCGCGCGGTGCAGAATTTCTTCTCGCGTCCGGTCAGCTCACGAGTTTACAGACATAGGAGTTGTGTTCTGCCGCCTCCCTACGAGCTGGATTCATTGTAAATTCTGACTCATGGACCCACTACTTGGCCTCCGAAACCAACCCATTGCAGCCTTGCATTGGTGGAAGCAGTTTGCTCACCTGGTGGTGAATGGGGAGATTAAACCATGACATTTTTCAGAAGCAACAACGACTTTTTGTTCTTGTTTCAAACTTCTCTTGTAGGTATTTAGATGTGGTTGACGTTTTTAAGGTTACTGGGATGAAGCTTGGTCTAGTTGCCATGTGAAACTGTACAACACTTACAGCCACTACCACCGTTTGTAATTGCTTCGCAGAGACAGTAGAGAGGTGTGTTTTGCTTGTGGCTGTCAGTGACTACTTAATGTTTAGGGTGATGAATGCTACGTTCGATTGTTTCAGTGTACACAAAAAATGTGCTTGGTAAATGAAATAGAATGATAGTAAGTGAATGAGTGTATTGCTAGTGTTTCCTTAGTTGGTAATTAGAAATGAACAGACTTTTGGCTTTTTGAGAGGAAGAATGGCTTAAGGCATTTCCGCCGGAGTATGATTATTAGCATAAGGGTGAGGTGGTAGTAGTATAACAGGATAAAGGCTAGAGCCCAAATGTTATCAATAACAATGACTGGATATAGTTGGTTGTAGTAGCATAATGGCTCTTGTGGTGGTTTGATACAACCATGATGATAGAATGAAACAGGTGGTAGGGGTTTACATAATACCATGATAACAATGCTAAGAGTAATATGATGAAGACTCATGAATCAGGAGGAATAGGAATCGTAGCAATAATATTTGTAATAGCAGCAGTAGTGGTAGTGCTAGTATTAGTATTAGTAGTAGTAGTAGTAGTAGTAGTAGTAGTAGTAGTGGTAGTGGTAGTAGTAGTTGTTGTTGTAGTTGTAGTTGTAGTTGTAGTTGTAGTTGTAGTTGTTGTAGTTGTTGTTGTTGTTGTCGCTGTTGCGAACAGGTCAGCTGCATAAATCTAGTGAATCTAGTGGTATTAGGGGGTATAACTGAGTGACTAACTAACTAACTGACTAACTAACTAACTGACTAACTAACGAACTAACTACTAATTAACTGACTATCTAGCCAGCTAACTAATGAACGAACTAATTAGATCATTAATCATTTTTTTCAATTAGCTAAGTATTTTCATATGCATTCCGGTCGATAGATAGCTTTTTGTTGTCGCGACCCCGAGTTCCATATGCCTAGGTACATGACAAATCACGAAGCCTAAACAGCACCCTTGCCCCTACCTGCAAACCGTCCGTGGCTCCTCTTCGTTTGCTTTCCCGTGGTGCCAGCAGGCAGCTTCGCTCGCTCGTCGCCTTGCGCAAGGCTGCATGGTGAGTTTGGACTCAACAGCATGCTCGTCCTGGGGATTGTAAGTTGTAGCTAATTTTGATTACTCGTAGTTGAAAGGTTTAATCATAGAGGCCTCAGAGTTGGGGGCTCATGGCTTGGAGCTTAGTGCAGTTTACGCCAAAGTGTGGCAGGACTACTGGGTGAGCAATGGGCGCGTCTTGAATTCAGAGCTCCTAGAACCTCGCGAGAGACCCGATGTCCACCTTGTGTGTGCAAGGTGCATCGGGAGCCCATGTCTGCGATGGTCACGGCCTCGACAAGATTGCAAAAGTCAGGTGTGCACAATAGCAAGTGACGGTGAGTTTGTCACCGAGCCACAAGCAGAGCATGTGCCAGTTACAGTTTTCAGTAGTTCTGCCAATAAATCTGTCAAGCTAGGCATTCCCTCTGTCTTGAGTCTGAATCCGCATGGTGCTATCTGATTTGCAGTGCTGCTCCGTCCGTATCTGGGACGCCTACCCCTCACTGTTCCAAGCGTCCAACGCCTCTCAACCTTGAACCTGCCGTCCCAATCGGTTCAAGACCTCATGAACCAGCCAGCTCGCTGTAGCAGTTTAGGGTTTATGCCATGCCGGATGCCAGCACAGAGGGTGTGGAGCTGGTCCTGATGGGAGCCGAGCCGAGTCGGCTAGAAGCGGCCCCTCGAATGTTCTTGAGGAGCTTGGGATGTAGGTTGATATGGGTATACATTCTCAACAACAATAAGATGGATTATGAACAGAATTGAAGCAGCTTCTCCGGTAATTGCACTCCCGTTTATACCCTAAGGCTTTGCAATCCTGCGGCATAGACATTGTTACGGTCTCCAAACTTAAGATTCACCGAGAATTTTTAAGCGGTGATGTTTCTGGGTTTGTTGTGCGGAAACGGGCGCATCGGTCCGAACTTTTGTGGGCTCTCCTTCTCACGGATCAACCTAGAATCTAGATACGTCTTGAATGGTTCCAGGCAAGCTAATGCCGACTGGGTCCCTAACCTTAGCGCCCTTCTCCCATGAGTGTTCTACGGTGGCAGTCTGCATGCATTGCTCAGCTTAGTTCAGTAAACGCTCTGACGTTCGCGAGGGGAAGAGCGAGTGTTGGTAAACAAAATTTACGCTCCCATAGTGCTGGCCCATTTGATCTGAAATGGCGCCAAAGGGCCTTACATATTATTACTTCTGGGTATAAGAAGGGGGGCCATCATCTGAGATGTACCCTAGTGGAGGGACACAGTTGGGTCAAGAGCTTGATACAGTTCCGTGTTCCACCCATGACTTGGGGTGGAGTTAAGGAGGTTCTTGGGAGGACCGAGGATTCACATCGGTCACGCATGTTGCATGCGCCTAGAAGAAGAAATTGCGAAAAGATTTTGGTCCCGCGGTACCTGCCACACCTGTAGCCCAAAATGCCACGAAGCGGAAGCCCGAAGAGCAAAAAAACAACCGGTCCCTTGCATATGGAGTTCGTTGTTTTGCGTACCAACATGGAATGCATTTAGCCAGCAAGAGAATGGGAATCAAACATGTGTAGGTCTTCACGGCTTCAGCGGGGGATGCCAAGATTCAAGCTTCAGGAAACGCGATGTACATGATGTAACGAGTACCACAAAGCCCGCAAAAGAGAGTGCTGCATAAACCTGATAGAAACAAGTGTAGTAGAAAAAGTGCCCTGATAGATGCAATGCAGGCAAGCACTGGAGACATGAGAGTCTTTCCAGGCAGCGTCTTTTTGACAAACAATGGGCCCGGAGAGGCACAGCCTTGAGGCAACGCATGAAAAGAGCCCCCTAAGCCAACATCACGAACTTCCGAATCTCAGGAACGTAGAGGCTTCCCAGTAAGCAGTGGCGGATTGGATGCCTTTCCCTGTCCCGCCATCAGAAGCGCCTTTAATCGGTTGCTTACTGCGTGTGGGCGACGTAGATGGCAGAATGGCAATCCCAAAGAACGCGTTTCATCACAGTCGGTTTTGGGGATGAACTCGGTACCGCGGAGTACCTACAGAGGAGGAGTCTTTCGAAATGCTAATGCCCCAACTCCGAACCTTCAACAAATAACCCATATTCCGAAAACTTTAACCTTATGCTCCCTACCCGAAGCCCCTAAGCCCCTGATCTCCAAAGCCTTGCGTACACTCCCAGGCAAACCTCGACGCGGAGCGTTTGATCCCGACAAGCTGGACTCTGCCACCTCCCAGCGCATGGCCACCCCGCGCACCCACGCGGAGGAGGTCACATGAGTTGTCATTCAAGAGGGTACATAAGCGGGCTGTATAAGGGTTTACACATGTTTTTTCAGGGTCCTTGGTTTGGTGGTCCTTACACACGTGGAGGAAAGCCTGCATTACTGTATATGGAACCTCCCGCATAGAGGCTAATGATTTTCGAACAGAGTAGACCGAGTAGACCCTTAAACGGGGGGCCCCATGTTGGGTTTGAGGTTGAGGGCTTTGTTTGAACCGGTAAGACCCTCTGAGAGGTGTTGGGTCCCCGTCCTGCGGGATCTCCTGACAGAAGTCATCTGAGGTCGATGCTCACAGAGGTGACGAGCAGAGAGGCTCAGAGAGGAGCGGGCCTCAAAATTGAAAACCTCTCGTGGCGTTTTTAGGCCAGGCTCGTATTTGTGAGTGCATCAAGGACCTCCCATATGATCACGACATATCACGACTATTTAGTAGCCGTTTCGTGTGGCCGATCTCGCAGCCAGCACCCTTTGTCCCACCTCCTGCAGATGTTTGCTCTTCAACCAGGTTCCATTCCCAAGCTTGGGAAAGCGAAACTGGCGGTGGTCCTGTACACCTTCGCACGCATTGTTGCCAATTTGGCCGTATTCCCAAGGGAGCATGCAAGGGAGCAACACGACGCCAATATGTTTTGTGGCGATGACGAGACATGTTACCAGTGGTACCAATCTGAATTCACGCCTTCAATACTCACCTGGGGCCTCCTGTGTGACAGCATCTTGAGGCCCTTTATTACAGGACTGGGACTCTATGTGCTGTTTCATCGCAATGATCGCCTATCTGTGAAATCACCGCTGCACCTTTGGACCAAAGCGGTGCTCTTCTGCCTTGCTTCTTTTCACTGTGACTTCAGCGTGACCCTAACTTCTGGTAGCTTGCGCTGGCGTGGTGGTGGTGCTGGGTGGCTACTGATGCCATGGGAAGTTCTCTGCAACTGCATGCAGCTGCACATGATAAATTTGAAATTGCATGCGCTGGGCTGGCAGCTCACGGCGCAAGTCTGCAAGGCCTTGATGCTTGGACAGCTGCTTTCTTGGGCAACTTGGGCGTTTCTGTGGGGGTCTTTCCGCTATAACCTAGGTTGGGTAGCGGACACTATTGTCCTGTGCCCCACGATGCTCATCCTGGAGTTTCTCGGACTGTTTTACTCAGCAAGCAGAGCTCTTTTCGTGGGTTGGCGTGATGGTACAATCAGAGCAACTGCGTGGTGCCTGTACATCAACTCCTTGCTGCTGTGGCTGGGGCCCGTCCTCAGTTATTGTGGGTTGTTAGGTTTTCAATATGGGCAAAATAGGCGAGATGGTGCGAATGCCCCCAGTGGAATCTTTGAGACAGCAACAGATGCCACCCTGACTTTGGACATTGGTTTCCAAGTCTTGAATGTGCTGCTGCTCAGTGGAATTGTCGGCCCCCGGCAGTGGCAAGATCCCATGGCGGCTTTTCAAAGGTGGGAGGTTCCGCAAATTAGAATAGACACAGGATGACATTCTTATCTTGGCGGGCATATGAAGTGACCCTGGTTTTTGTCAGTACCAGGTTGGCATACCTGCAGGGTTTCGGCCTCGCGTCCAAACGGATTGCTTTCCCCGGGCAGCTGAACCCACATTCCAAGGACTGCATGTTATGCTTGTCATGACAGCTATGCTGGATTTGCTTTTCGATATCATCACCGTTGACGCACATTCAACATATTTAAGAGTAATCCGGCACATTTCGGCAAATATTCCTCTGTTAGGACTGCGTCGTATCGTTCCCTGGGAAGTACAGCCAGCAATGGGACGAGGCAGTGTCTACTGCCAAGACACAGCAGGGCTTTTCGCTTGCATGTGTGTTCCTCACGGACCGTGTGTCTGGTCTGGGCGAGCACGTCGAGAATCCAGATGCGTCGGGTGAGTGCTGGTGCCGCGCGAGTCTCTGCTTGGACAACAGCATTTTTACTGACTTGGGCCTGCGGATATATAGACAAACGGCAGTTAGACTTGTTGATGGTGGCCTGGGGCTTATGAACTCAGGATTTACGGGCAGTTGCCTGCCTCAACCTACCTGGCCGTAGTCGATGCACGTCCTGAAGGTTGCTGCAAAGTGCTGGGAGGGCTGGGACCGGGACGGCAAGGCCTCTCACAACAGGAGCCGACTTGCAGCTCCTGCGTGAGTCTGGAGTCATTGGGCTTCGCCCAAAGCAAAGCCTCTTGCACACACTCTTGTATCCCTTGTACAAGAAAAGACCCACCTCTAAGCATCCTCCTCCTAACCTTTGCTTGCGCTGCAGAGACACTCTAGCGTTAGGCAGTGCAGGGGCACGACGCTCTGAGGTTGGGCAGTGCACTGTATGGTGGGGCACTGAAGTGCCACTCACAGGTGGGAAACTGAGGGACATTCTGGGAGCGGGTACGGCAGAATGCTCCAGGGTTGGGCGGTGCAACGCGGGCAAGGAGAGCTCAGACCTCTTGAAATCTCGCAACGACCCCACTGTGAGCGTCTGGAAAAATCGATGCATACATACGATACATGCGCATTCGCATAGGATTGTATACATAGATATGCATATAAGATCATATAAGCCTGAACATTCATGCAGGGTATCCCTGCCTCTCACAGCAGGACTTGGAGTTCAAACGAGCAGATGCCCAGGCCATGGGCCAACGCCTGGCTACTCGACGGAGAGTATTTGGTTTCTTTCGGTTCAGCGCATCTAAAAGGCCAAACTCTTTTCTTGTTTTTTTTGGGGGGGAGGGGGGGGTGGCTCAATTCAGGATACACTGCGTTTTTTGTGTAAATACTGCGCCAGAGTCGAGTACAACTATCACAGGACGCCTATCGATGTAGACAGGCGAAACAAAGGTGCCCCTGGCCTGCACCTTGTTTCGGAGAGACTCTGAGGTCGTCCGACGGAATCAAGCAGACTGGGAGTGGGAGCGAGAGCTCGCTGGCTGACGTTTGGGAATCTTAACCTTAATCTTTTTGATGCATTTCTTGCTAGGACATTCAATCTTTCAGGAAGACTGGAACCATGATGTTAAATTCCTTCCCTGTTTTCCCTCCATGCTAAGACCACGTTCCCCGTTTGCCCCCACATTCGAGATTTTCTACACCTAGAATTCCAAACATGAAGGAGGCAAGTTTCAATTTCCAGGAGAAGGGATCGACGGAGCTCCAAGTCTCACCTTACCGATTCCCGCAAACGCTACTCTCCGCTCTATATGGACCCCCCTCAAAGAGATAAGCTTAAACCCCAAACTTTAAACCCTAAACCTTAAGCCCTAAAGCCTAAACCTTAAACCCGAAACCTTAAGCCCTAAACGCTAAAGCCTAAACCTTAAACCCTAAACCTTAAGCCCTAAACCCTAAAGCCTAAACCCTGAAGGCTAAACCCTAACCCCTAAACCAGACCTGAAGAATCCAGGCTCCAAGAAGCCGAAGAGGACGCCCGAAGGCGCTGCACGGAGAACCAGGGCCGTGCTCCTTGGGGATGCAGATGGCTGCTTGGCTTAGGGTTTAGGGTTTAGGGTTTAGGGTTTAAGCTTGGCAGGGCGTGCTGCCCAAAATATACATGGCTGCAGCTTGGGGCTTACAGTAGAGTCTTGGTTTGAAGGTCCTGTTGGTCCTGCTTGCATGGAGCCTGGCAGTACCTCGGGTTGTAGACCTATGCTGTAGGATTTAGGTACTGCTTGTAGCCCTCAAGCATTTTTGTGGAAAGGCTTAGGCTGTTTTGTTCGGTTGAGGTGAAAGGGTCTACTTGCCACCCATTCTGCCGCATGATAGCGTGAGGAGGGGATTGGAAAACATCGAAGTCACCAGCTCACAAAACATGGGTTCTTCCCACAAGCAGAGGCCCTCACGTGCGCTGGATTCTTTTCAAGCCAGGCCCTTTCAGCCTAGCTGCAGGTACCGTACCCGCCAAGTGCGTGCAGCTAGAATGGAGACTTCCCACTCAGCCTCCCCTGAACCCTAAGCCAGAAATTGCAGCTTTCTCAGTATCATAAGTCTGCATCCAGGTTCGAGGACTGGCGCAGGATCCTGGGTCTGACAAAAGCCCGATACGTCTTGGGGTTCAGGACTTAGGCTCTGCTTGCGGTTTAGGGTTTTTAGAATACAGTTGCAAGGTTGGTAAGCTCCGATGATCTTTGGTTTAAACTCCAAAACGATAGAGGGCTCTGACAGGAGTATTACCCAGCCAGGAACTGCCCTCCTGAACAAGGCAAGTTCTGACCTCGAACCTGAACGTATTTGTGGTTGCAGTGCAGGGGGCTGTGAGCAGGAGCGTCAGGTCTTGGGATAACTGAAGGGTTCCTCGGTTGCGGGGCCCACATGCGGCTCTCGGATTCGGGGGTACCCTTGTGGGGAATTAGCTTAACGGCATCAAAGGTTGTCAACCGAGGCCAAGCACAACAACCACAAGTAAGCGTTGAGCTGTAATAGCCACAACGACAAGAGCCCTAAACCCTAGCCCCAAAACCCTTCAAACCACAGACCCTAAGCCCTAAACCCACATGCTAAGCCTTAAAAGCCCAAAGGAACGTTGAGAGAGCCGTGGAGCTGAAGCAAAGCCTTCACGTCTTCTACTTCGAGGGCCGCACTGGTCAGGGCAATGGTTTGGGATCAGCTCCCCTGTCAGGAGGTGGGATGCCAGCTTCCCCTCATAATCCATGTTCATACTTGTTTAGTTTTGAGGCTTTCATGTAGAATCTCGTCGACAATGACATGAATTTTGAGGCGGTTTTAGCAATATCCCTAATAGCCTCAACCCATGTGTCGACCCTCAGATCTTGCCCCTTCAAAGACACAGTCCCAGCCCCCCATTGCCGTTGTGTTGCTACGGTAACGAAAAGAGGGGGAGTATTCAACTTTAGAGAGGGTCTGTAGGGGAAAGTACGGGGTACAGAACCCTGATGGAGGCCAAGGAGCGCGTGCGGCTTCAGAGCGGCTTGGGCGCCTCCCAGACCCTGGGCCGCGTAAGGCTGCTGTGCTTGTTCTTGTGACATCTTGTTACTATGTTCAAAACTGTGTTGTTGCTACCATGTACGTATCATGTGTAAGCCTGCTTTGTTTGTTCTTGTTAGATGTTTTGGAGCGCGTTGGTGATTAGTTAGTGTTGCCCTGTCCGTTTCATCAACGGTTTCGTTTCAAACTTGTCAGCTTAAGCATCAGTTGAGGTGTCTCCAACATGAGTACTGGAATCAGCGTGAGATTCGCAAGCTTCTGATTCAGGGTCTCAAGAGCAGCTCAGGACGGCTGAAGTGGCGTACCTGGACAAGCTGGGCTCCTGGGCCTGCCTTGATATGCAGCCTGTAGAAGGGCCGCGACCAGTACCTTCCTTTGTAAAGCTCGAGCTAAGGACATGCCTATTTGGAACATGACATCCGCGACTTCCATCATTTGGTCTCACCTGAGCGCAGAGCCGGACCAGGCATCGGAAGCTCCTGCGCCGTGAAAAATTAGCTCTGCAACTTTACGGATTGTCGATTAGGGTTGCTGCCATGTAGGCAGGGTTGCTTGAACCTATGTATAGCCCTCATCCCGAACCGTGAATGCTACGGTATTTACAGAGATGTGCCCTGTGCCTCGCTTAGATGCGCTTAGCACCTGGCAGAAGCCTCAGCCACGTGGGCCCGTCGAATTAGAGTATTACATGCCCTTTCATCGAAAACTGAGTTTGCGTACTGGTTGGACACAATCTGTACCAGCCCTGTTTTCGAGGCGCTTTGGCCTCTGAATGTATGTACTCCTGATAAAGGGAAAGCCACAATATCGTGTGCTGTCAGGCTGATAGGAAAGCTTTGGCGTGTCAGTGCTGGAACTGGCACTGAAGTGGTGCAGTGATTGCAGCCAGGAGACGAACAGCACGTGGCCATCAGCATTGCATCTATGGAAACGCCTTGTTCTGATATCATCGGAAAGGCTTAGCTGGTATATGAGGGTCACATTCCAGCAAGAGATCCTGATTCAGAAGTGAATCACTGAGCTTTTTTACGGCCGTTCCTGCGAGGGGTGTGTAAACTGTACTCAAGCAGCCTGATTCGTTATCATCATAGCGGTAATCGTAGTAGCACTAGTATCACTGAAAACATCTCTTTAATGAGCATGCATGCATGTTGTTGTGGGTGTAACATCACCACCGCCGCCACCACAACCACAACCACAACCACAACCACCACCACTTCCGATGTTCACTCCGTCCGCCTTTGATGCCGTCATCGTGACCCCTGCACCGTAGCAGATGAGCAGCCACATCCTAAGAAGCCCCGACACCAAACTTGCCTGCAGCGTGCTAGCAGCCTAAATTCTGAAGAGAGGTCGTCCCCCGCGCCATGCCTAAGAAGATGAGCCAACTCGTGGATGAGCGCCGCTCCCGATTTGTGTCACGTTTTGGCCTGCAGGTTTGAAAGATGTGGGGGTCTGCCGGAAGTTAGTAGGGCTTCAGAGTCTTTAGAGTGTAGGGCCGTCGATTTCAGGTTTGCCGGCATTGATACGAATTCCAAGATTTCCCGTTCTTGTCAGTCGCGCCCGGATCGAAAACAAAGTTTTGACTGAGTTCAGTAATTCGTTTGCGTGGCTGTAACTGATCAATTCTTACACTCCCTCCCAGTCATGCCTTTAGAGTCAGAGCCCTGCCCGCCCCCCCAAATTCAAAGCCTGCAAGCCAAGGATCCGCGGTGATTTCGAGCTGAACAGGCGAGCTACGTGAGGTCTTGCCGAAAAGAGGCGTCACCTCGCCAACAGCATTTCGGGCTTGTTCGAAGGAGGTATTGCCAAATGCCAGTGCTGTTGACTTGCAAGACAGCTGCGGTGTGCAACGGTGGACATGCTCCATCATTCCTGTCTTTTGTCAGATTGTGGAAGTTTGAGACCGACCTGCTTGGTACAGGTTTGCTTCATATCATAGTCCGTTGGTGGCTAGTTTACGTACGTATTTAAGAGAAAACAGACAGAAATATAGGGCATCTGTCAAAATTCTCAGAAAAAAATAAACAGAAATTATGAAAAATATTATTATTTGTAAAGTGGCAAAATATTTGCATTTTATTTTCAAGTCGCGGCAATTATTTGATATCATAGGCATATAGTCAATTGAGTCACGGTCAAAACCCCGTTAG